GCAGTGGCGCGAACTTGGCTCACTGCAATCTCTGCCTCCCAGGTTCAAACAATTCTCCTGCCTCAATCTCCCGAGTAGAGTAGCTGGGACTACAGGCTTGTGCTACCATGTCTGGCTAATTTTTTGTATTTTTAGGAGAGATGGGGTTTCACCGTGTTAGCCATGATGGTCTGTATGTCCTCACCTCGTGATCAGCTCACCTCAGCCTCCCAAAGTGCTGGGATTACAGGAGAGAGCCACTGTGCTCGCCTCTGTTTTCTATGAGTTTGTCCTGTTCTTTATCTGACTTTTTAAGTTAGAATAGCTCAATCCTCCAGCATTAAAAGTTTTTCAATATAAGCATTCTGAGGCTACAACTTGCCCTTGAAATACCACTTTGGCCTTCTCCCACAGGTTTTGTTCTGTATTTTCATTATTGGTCAGTTACAAAACATCTTTAAATTTTCATTATGATTTCTTTGACAATACATTTATTTAGAATGGTGTTTTAAAATTTATAAATCTGTATTTTTTTAAACTTTAAGATTTTTTTGGAAATGCACATACATAGGAAAACATATAAAACATATATTTACAGTGTAATAAATTAGAAAGCAAACACCCATATAACCACCCCAGATTTAAAAAAAAACAAATAAAATAGGCCGGGCACGTGGCTCATGCCTGTAATCCCAGCACTTTGGGAGGCTGAGGCTGGCAGATCACCTGAGTTCCAGACCAGCCTGACCAACATGGAGAAACCCTGTCTCTACTAAAAATACAAAATTAGCCAGGCTTGGTGGCACACGCCTGTAATCCCAGCTACTAGGGAGGCTGAGGCAGGAGAATTGCTTGAACCCAGGTACCGGAGTTTGCGGTGAGCTGACATCACGCCATTGCACTCTAGCTTGGGCAACAAGAGCGAAACTCTACCTAAAAAAAAAAAAAAAAAAAAAAGTCAGGCGCGGTGGCTCACGCCTGTACTGTAATCCAGCACTTTGGGAGGCCGAGATGGGCGGATCGCAAGGTCAGGAGATTGAGACTATCCTGGCTAACACTGTGAAACCTCGTCTCTACTAAAAATACAAAAAAATTAGCCGGGCATGGTGGTGGGCGCCTGTAGTTCCAGCTACTCTGGAGGCTGAGGCAGGAGAACGGCGTGAACCTGGGAGACGGAGCTTGCAGTGAGCCGAGATGGTGCCACTGCACTCCAGCCTGGGCAACAGAGCGAGACTCTGTCTCAAAAAAAGAAAAAAAAAGAGATTATCATAGCTGAGAAGCTCTCAGGGTTCTTACTTGTAGCCCTCTCTCTGGCAGAGATGACTGCATTCTTGACTTTTGAGATCCATTTTCTTTTTTCTTTTTTGAGACGGAGTCTCGCTCTGTCTGCCCAGGCTGGAGTGCAGTGGCGCCATCTCGGCTCACTGCAAGCTCCGCCTCCCAGGTTCACACCATTCTCCTGCCTCAGCCTCCGGAGTAGCTGGGACTACATGCACCCGCCACCATGCCTGGCTAATTTTTTTGTATTTTTAGTAGAGACAGGGTTTCACCGTGTTAGCCAGGATGGTCTCAATCTCCTGACCTCGTGATCCACCCGCCTCAGCCTCCCAAAGCGTTGGGATTCCAGGTGTGAGCCACTGCACCCGGCCTTTTTTTTCTGAGACCCAGGTGACATGATGGTGTCACTCTGTCACCCAGGCTGGAGTCCAGTGGCACGATCTCTGCAACCACCCCCTCCCGGATTCAAGCGATCCACCTGCCTCAGCCTCCTGAGTAGCTGGGATTACAGGCGCAAGGCAACACGCCTGGCTAAGTTTTGTATTTTTGGTAGAGATAGAGTTTCACCATGTTGCTCAGGCTGGTCTGGAACTCCTGAGCCTAAGTGATGCACCCACCATGGCCTCCCAAAGTGCTGGGGTTACAGGCATAAACCACAGCTCCCAGCTCTATTTTCTTTATAGGCTTACCATCTATGTAGGCATCGCTAAACAATGTCAATTAGTTTTACCTGTGTTAAACTTCATATGCATATAATCATACCAGTATATACATCTTTGTGTCTTGGTTCTTTCATTCAACATGTCTGTGGGATTCATCCTTATTGTTATGTGAGCTGTGATTTGCTCATTTTTATTGTTGAATAGTATTTCAATGCGTAAGTATACTACTGATTCTTTGGTCCACTGAGGAGGGAGTTCTGGCTTATTTGCTGTTTTTTTTTGTTTGTTTGTTTCCGAGATGGAGTATTGCTTTGTCACCCAGGCTGGAGTGCAGTGGCACAATCTTGGCTTACTGCAACCTCTGCCTCCCGGATTCAAGTGATTCTCTTGCCTCAGCCTCTCGAGTAACTGGGACTACAGGCGCCCGCCACCACGGCTGGCTAATTTTTGTTTTTTCAGTAGAGGCGGGGTCTCACCATGTTGGCCAGGCTGGTCTCAAACTCCTGACCTGAAATGATCCACCCACCTCAGCCTCCCAAAGTGCTGGGAATACAGGCATAAACCACCGTGCCTGGCCTTTTTTTTTTTTTTTGAGTTGCTCTGTTGCACCAGTACAGTGGTATGATCTCAGCTCACTGCAACCTCCACAGCCCAGGTTCAGTGATTCTTCTGCTTCAACCTCCTGAGTAGCTGGGATTACAGGCGCACACCACCATGCCTGGCTAATTTTTGTATTTTTTTAGTAGAGATGGGGTTTCACCATTTTGGCCAGGCTGACCTAAAGTGATCCATCTGCCTCAGCCTCCCAAAGGGCTGGCATTACAGGTGTGAGCCACCGCACCAGGCCTGCCTGTTTTTTTCATTACCTGGCTGGCCTCTATGGGTTGAGTTTGACATCTCTGGAAACCATTCAGGGTAAATCTCTCTTCTTAGATACTTCTATATACTAAGAAAGTCTGGGCTTGAACTGCAACAGAATAATGACTGCTAAACAGAAGGAGTAACTTCCCAACTATTTAAAGTGCAATATCCCAATATGGGTTTTGGAAAGGGGTGGGAGGCCTGGATTTGAAGAGGGGCCAAGCTGTGGGGAAGTAAAGAGCATGAGGGGAGGACAGATGAAGCCTGCCCTTGGTGTGAGGACTCTTGACGTGATTCCAGGGTCAGGATTCCTGTCATCCATCTGCTGGCCCTTTGGACCACTCGGCCACTGGCATGCTTTCCAAGTCTGTATCCATGAGTGGCATCAACTGTCTCTTGGACTGGTCGGATCCAGATGGTGAGCAAAAGTAGGGAGCAAAGCAGGGGTGGCCCCTTCCCCTATACATCTCGTTGCCACTCCTCATAGCTAGCTGTTTAGGGTTCAGATGTCCTGAATTATGTTTAGCCACATACCCTTGGAATCCCTAGAATGGCTTTTTTCTTTTTTCTTTTTTTTGAGACCGAGTCTCACTGTGTCGCCCAGGCTGGAGTGCAGTGGCGCAATCTTACCTCACTGCAACCTCTGCCTCCTGGGTTCAAGTGATTCTAGTACCTCAGCCTCCTGAGTAGCTGGGACTACAGAAGCGCACCATCACACCCGGCTAATTTTTGTATTTTTTTTTTTTTTTTTTTTTGAGACGGAGTCTCGCTCTGTCGCCCAGGCTGGAGTGCGGTGGCGCAATCTCCACTCACTGCAAGCTCCGCCTCCCGGGTTCACGCCATTCTCCTGCCTCAGCCTCCCGTGTGGCTGGGACTACAGACGCCTGCCACCGCGCCCGGCTAATTTTTGTATTTTTAGTAGAGACGGGGTTTCACCGTGTTAGTCAGGATGGTCTCTATCTCCTGACCTCGTGATCCGCCCATCTCGACCTCCCAAAGTGCTGGGATTACAGGCGTGAGCCACCGCGCCCGGCCTAATTTTTGTATTTTAGTAGAGAAAGGGTTTCACCATGTTGGCCAGGCTGGTCTGAAACTCCTGAGCTCAAGTGATTCACCTGCCTTGGCCTCCCAAAGTGCCAGGATTACAGGCGTGAGCCACCATGCCTGACCTCAGAATGGCTTTATTCAAATGAGCAATCTGAATTCTGGATTTTGGCATTCTGAAACTCCTACCAATGAAAGCGGACATAGGACATAGTGAGGTTCTCCAGCCTTCCCTGTTACCAGAGATGGAGGACAGTTACCTGCAATGTACCTTGTCCTCAGATGGAGTATTGGGAGCTCTGGGTGAAACCTCTGATACATCAGTCTCCCAGCCACCGTCTCCACATGACCCTGGTGCTCTGTTCCCCTGGATAACCCTGGTGCTGTGTTCCCATGGCTCCTAAATTCTTCAGCTCTGCCCTGCTTAGACCCCGCCCTCTCTCCCTGCTGCCCACTGCCCGCCCTCAGGAATGGCGTCAAATGCACCTGCAGCTTGGGAACCTGATCCAGGTGAAGCGGGTGGGGGAGGAAGCCCTGGGCGCCTTTGTCTGGCTTTAGCTAGACACTTTTCGTCTCCTTTTGTGTTGGCAGGGAATTTATCCCAGTCCTCTGCCATTGACCTCAGGAAACGGTGAGTGTGGGGGACTCAGAATCCTTCAAAAGCCTCTATAGGGGAAGAGCAATAAGGTCTAGGCCATGGTTTTATAGCCCCAGGGGTCTCCCTGCTTCCTGAATCATTCCTCCCCTTAACATTTCTGATCTAAGACCCCCAAATAGCCTTCCCTGAGCTGCATATAATTCACCCTCTTTTCTTTGGTTTGGATGGGCTCACCAGGTTCCCGGTAGCTGCATGAGACCGGGGGAGAAATTAGGGAAAGAAAAGGAGTATCCAGGGCACAGGGTGTCCATTGAATAACAGAGCATGGGAATTGCTTGCTGTCGTCAGTGGTATAGGGTGAAAGGGCAGATGGACTGTTGAACAGTCTTAGTGAGGGACAGTGACCAAGGACCATGGATCAGTTTAGGATGGCTCAGATAATACACCAATGGGGATTGGCCCTAAGGAGGGCTGGGCAAGGGCTGTGGAGCTCCCAGCAGAGAGGGCAGGGCCTGAAGGCAGAGTTCAGGTCTGGAAGTGGAGGCTGGGAGATTTGAATAACTATGTAAATAAGCATGCAAAATCAACACCTGCTTATTTGGCTCCTATGGCTGAAGCCTGATTAGAGTGGGTCAGCCCTCTAAGACAGTGTGGATGTGTAAGCAAGTAATGGTCCCTTTAAGATATCAGGCTCTGCTTTGTGGTCCTGAAAATCTCTAGCTGACACATCCTCCTGGCTCTGGGTTTGGGATTAGCTCATGGGATGGGGCTGATGAAATCCCAGGAAATTCAGTCCTTATTGGCTTTAGGCCCAGAGGCCTTCTCCAAACAGCAGAGAGGGTCGTACACAGGGCTCTTGTTCTGAGAGGAGAAAATGCCCCTCGGGAGAGCCCCCACCCCATACCACTTCCGTTGGGGAGCAGCATGAGAGAGGAGACTGGGCCTCCCATCCTGAGCCTGGATTAGGTAGGAAGGAGGAGTCTGTATTTATCTGGGTGGAGCCTGGAGTTTTCTTCCTAAATAGAGGGGCTTGGGAAGCTGAAATGCCCACATCCAGGAAGTCCTAGGAGGTCAGGATGGGGGCTTATCTTTCTCTCCCAGTCCTTCCTCTTTCTTCCTTCCCATTCTGGCTCTGCTGGTCATGGATCCTTCATCCAGCATCTCTCAGGAAGTATCTTTTTCTTCATTTCCAGCATTACCTCCATCTTCTCATGTATTCTTTTTCTCTCTGCAGCTGCAGCCAGCTGGAAGGACATTCAGGTACCTGGGCAGGCTCCTCCCTGCGACGGACCTTCAGCTTCCTCTTGGGAATGACTGGAAAGGCCAAGGTAGGAGTCAGCTGGGGAAGCAGGAGGCTTGGGACCCACTGCCCTCCCCAGTTCCCTTTCTCCCATCCCACCATCGCCACCTCCCACCACTCCCCCGATTAGAAACTCAGAGCAATGGTTCCATTTTTTAATTTTTTTATTTTTTTAAGAGAGGGGGTCTCTGTCTCCCAGGCTGGAGTACAATGGCACAATCATAGCTCACTGCAGCCTCTAACTCTTGGGCCCAAGCAATCCTCTTGCCTTGGCCTCCCAAAGTGCAGGGATTACAGGTGTGAGCCACTGTGCCCAGCCAAATGCTTCAAATTTTAAGGGAACACATGCTATCTCTTCCAGCCTGTATCTCTGTGTTCCAGCAAATCACCTTTTCTCTGCTTTCCCCTGCGCCTCCAGCTTAGCAGTCAGCTGTGGACAGCTGGAAGGGGAAAAGGGCCAGGAAACTCAGACGTTGAGAAATGGCCTAGCCCTCTCTCTCTTCAGGCCTCACATAGCTGACAGGTGGGCAGCAGAAACCTCAACCATTGGACATAATAATGATAATAATTACAGCACTACTTTTTACTTCTTCATAGAGTATCAGGGTTTGCTAAGTGCTTTTACACTCATAATTTTATGGGTGGATACAGCAGCTGAAGATGAAATCAGACCACAGGCAGAGTAGAAGCTGGGAAAGTATATGATTATGGAAGCACATGCATACCCGTACGTGTGCGGCCATGTGCTGTTCTGATCCCAGGAAGTAAAGGCACATTGTTCTCATCCTTATTACAAACCTTCGGGCTCTAGTGAAACCAGGAGCTCTGCCTACTCCTTGAATTCATTTCCACTTTCTTCATTTACTGTCAGAGTGAGCTGCCCTCCTTTTCCTCCCCTGGCCTCTCCAAGTATGCATGTGCTTTCCAACTTGGGGCGGCTTCTGAGTATTGAAAGAAACCCCAGGGAAGTCATCATCATATTCACCTTGAAGAGTCATGAGATTCTCACCAGTAAGTTTGCCTGGGCTCCTTCCAGCCCCACCCGCAGTGCCAGGGTTCTCCCCCTTTCAGCCTTTTTTGGCCAAGATTCCCTTTTCTCTGGGTGGGCTGGGAAGGTCAAAATGAAAGCAGGTCATGTTGTTAGCACCTCTCACCACAGGCCATGGGTGGGGAGTTGAGGCCGATGGAGGCATGAGACTGGGTGAGCCTCAGAAGAGGAGCAGCTGGAGAATCTGAAAGCTGATGGGAAGGGAGGGCAGGTGGGACAGTGAGGTTTCTCTCCCATGGGGGAACGGAGATCTCGAGGGAACAAAGCAAAAACAGAAACTTGGGGTCTGAGTCTCACCTTCCTACAGGCTGGCTCACTACAAGGTAGGGGAGTCTGCTAGTGGAATCACCCCCTTTTCTTGCCGTGGGAATGGTAGGGGAAGTCAGTACTGCCCAGGGGCCATCCAGATCCCAGTTAGTCTGTGTTTGTCCACCCTTGCCCTAACAGTCTGATGGAGGGTTGAGTAACCTGGTGAAGGGGAATGAGGGCAGAGACTTTGGAGCCCAGATGGGGAACAGGGAAGCGCCAGAGTGAGTCAGGACATTGCCTCGCTCAGCCTTTCCTCCCCACGTCTGTGGTCCTGTCTTCCTTTGTTTCCCTCTCTGCCATCTCCTGGTCCATCTTCCTTCCACCTTCATGAATATGTGGGCCTGCTTCATTTAATCTCTTTCTCCATAAGCAGTAAACATCAGGGGGTGGGGCTGGAGAGAAGCTCAGTCAAGCAGTGAGAAAAGGAAGTGGCTTAGTCCCTCCTACTTGAGTAGCATCGCACACTTGATGAAACACTTTCCAGGGGTCAGCTCATTTAATTCTTATAACAATTCTGGCAAAGATAAGTATTTCAATCTCAATTCTACAGACAAATACTTAAAGGTTAGTTACTTTGCCCAAGATCTCACAGCTCATAAGAGGTGGTGCCATATTAGAAACCCAGGGCTTTGGCTCTGTATTGCCTCTGTTTCTCTCAATAGCCCTAACACAACAGTTCATTCCCTCTCATCCTTTCCTTCTTCCAGCTTCTGGCTGGATGGCCACTTAAGGCAATTTGGCCTAAATCACCTCTTCCCAGAATATACAAGGTCCAGACCAATAGAAGAAAGAAGAAAAACAAATCACCTTGGGACAGTGTAGAGCTTGGGCTTGGGTATCCCCAGGAGACCCATCTTTTCACCAACTGGCCAAGACTTTGGCAACCAGGTTCTTCCCTGGGACCTCCTCCCTATCCCTGAAATGGGAGGGACACATTTCGTCAAGTTAAATGGGCTAAAGAAGGTGGTGGCTATTTTTAGATCCTGGTAGAAATGTTTGTTTTTGTGTATCTAAAAAAAATATTTCTGAAAATCCAGAAGATATCACTGGATAGGAGTAGAGGGGAGGCCGGAATGAAGAAGGGGCTTGGAAAAGGGGGGCAGGTGACACCAAAGGGAAGGGAAAAGTGTTCATTGTTCAAGAGGATATAGAAAATGGAAACTGAGTCAAGCTGCAGGCCAAGCTCACTAAACACAGGTGTTTTTAAAGGCAGAACACTTTTCTTTACCCTGTCCCTAGTCCCTTTCCTTGTTATTCATCTCCTAAGGGGAAGAAGAGGGCATAGGGTGAGGGGTAGGGTAACAGCAGGAGGATGGAAAGTAGACTGAAGGTTGGGGTGGAAGACAGAAAAGGGTTTGAGGGTCGGGTCCTCTTCTTTCATAGAGACCTTCTTAGTTGAGTTGAGGGACCGTGAGGTCCCTTGAAAAACCCCAGGGTTCAAATTCTGCGTTTCCTGGGTACCCAGGCTGGAGTGTGGCCCTTTAAGATTCTATCCATAGCTTGCAGCACTCTCCTGCCCCAGGCCTGGGAGAGAAGCTGAGGTCCCACCCCAGATCTTGTCTCTGGGCCTCCTGTGGGTGGAGCCTTGAGGCCAAGATTCTAGCCTCTGGCTGTCTGTTTTTAAATTTAGTACATTCCTGAGTCTTGGCTGCCCACCTCAGGGGAGGTGAGTCTGGAGTTCTGGGGCCAGGAGCCTCAGGACTCTTGGTTTGGGGGAGTTCCTACGCCCTCCCTGTAGGTAGGTATCCTTGGCAGGTGCAAGCCGGGAAGAACCAGCTATGGCCCTGGGAAAGTCCTTCCTGCTTTCTAATTTTCATCTAGCCTGAACTGGGCATGGTTTATTTCCTCTCCCTTTTTCCTGGTCTTTGCTATTTAAGGATTCTAAACAGGGGAATGGGTGAAGAAAGAGGTGAAGAAGGAGTTGCTAGGCAGGAGGGGAAGCTGGAGGGGCAGTGTAGGGGTAGTGCTGGGGGTGAGGAGCCTAACCAGCTCAGCCAGTGGTGAGGCAGTGGAGCCCAAAAATAGTGGCAGAGGCTAAAATTGGCACCTACGAGAGTGCTGAGTTGGGCTTGAAACCTGCAGCCTGGCCCCACTGCTGAGCCAGGGCAGGGAGCTGCTGGATCTGGGTTGGGTCTCCCCTCCCTCCCTTCTTCTCCCATGCCCTTTGGGGCCAGAATCAGGCAGGACCCTGTTAACCGAAGGCTCTGTCCCAGGCCTCTGTGTGCTTCTAGTTTCTCCTGAGAAACGGGAGACCCTGAGAGGCAGAAACGAACTTCATTGTAAGTGATCATAGTTAGACTGGAGGAGGAATTGTCCCAATAGCAGGAAACTCACCCAAAGTGGCAGCTGGCTCAGGCTGGGGAAAAGGGTCCAGAGAGATGAATGCCCCCACCTTACCCTGCTTCTCGTGGAGAGGCTGGTTGGGCCCTAACTTTCTTTGACTAGGGCAGGCTGGTTTCTGGTCTTTCAGTTTCGGCTTAACTTGCAACAGAGAGAACTGGAGTTAGACACATGGAAGGCCTTCGGTAAAAGTGGAGAATCCCAACCTAGTCCCCCAAAGTAGCTGGCAGAGGCGGAGCTAGGAGGAGGATGGGCAGAGTGGGGTCAGGAAGGCCCCAGAAGGGTGGGGCATGTGGGAGAATTTTCTTCTCTCTATTCTTCGACCTGTGCGAGTGAATCCTACCCTTCCCGTGTACTAGTGTACTGAAGACTCAGCGTTTAGTTCTCCTCTGATTTCCTCTCTCTCTGGCCACACCTGCCTCAATCGTAAAAGGGGGTCAGTCTGCTCAGGCCTGCTTTGATGGGACCCCGAAGGCCAGGAAGGAACTGGTCTTGGGTTCTCCAGGAGCTGGGGGCGGATGGAATCCTCCAGCCTGTGGGTCTTTAAAGACTGAGGTAACGCAGTGGGGGAGGGAGAAAAGGAGGGGGAGGGGAGAAGAGAAGAAGGGGAAGGGAGAGGGGAAAGGGCAGACCTGGGTCCGGCTAGGGCTGCCGGGCTGGGTTTTAGGAAAAGCAGAGCTAAGAGGCGGGTATCTGGGGCTAGAGGGCGCCCCCAGGCGCTGGAGGGGAAATGGGCAGTGGGGCCCCTCAAACCTGTCCTAGGACCCTCGTACCTCTCCGAGCTGCCCCCACACAAACCCTGGCGTCCCGTCCTGCGCGCCGGCACCCCGCCCTCCCTCCGCTCCGCCTCCCCCCTTCCTGAGCTTGGGCGGGGGAGGAGACTAGGGTTTGAGGAACTGGTGCTGGGTGCCGGGCGAGGGGAGTCAGACTTCCTGTCCCCGAGACCAACGCGTGCGGGCCGGACCCCTCCCCCCGCCCTCCCCCCATAGTAGCCGGACGCCGGGGTCCGCGCCGTGTCCTCCCTGGTCCCCCAGTCCGATTATGTCTCGGATCGAATCCCTCACGCGGGCACGGATCGACCGGAGCAAAGAGCTGGCGAGCAAGGTGGGCTCGGAAACCCCTCTCCCTCCGCCGCGGTCCTCGGGGGCTCCCCGAACCTCGGCACCCGCGGTGCATCCTCTGTCTCCCCGTCTGCTTTCTGGGCGCCAAAATCGGGCGGAGCGGTGGATCGGCAAGCGGCGGGACGGGGTGGGTGGGGACTGCGAGCAAGTGGGTAAGGGTGGGGGGAGCGGCAGACGCGACGGTGCTGGGATCCCGGGAGGGAGCGGAGCGGACCTGGGCATGGTCGCCTCGGAGCCGGCGGGACCGAGTGCTTTAGGCCGCTCGAAAGAAAGTTGCTCCGGTAAGGGACGGAGCGGGAAGAGGGAAGTGTGTGTCCCGGGGGTGGGGGCGGTGGAAGCTCCGGCACCTCCTCTCCCCCCGGGCCCTACCGGCTGGGCCTTGACATAGCGACCCCTCTCAACCCCCAGTCGCTGGCTTGGTCGTTCCCCCTTTGTCCCCGCCATCCGGCGGAGGGGACGGGAGGGGGTGGTTTCCCGGCTTCCTCCTACCACCACCACCACCTCTCCAAGACAAAAGTCAGCTCCTCCTCTCCTCGCAAATGGACTTTCCAGCTGTGATTCAGTTCTCCCCTCTGGGTGGGCGGGTGGCTGGGGTCGGGACGGCCGAGGGACGGCTTACTTCCCCCAAGCCATCATCTCTAGGTGAAGGGAGCAGAGGTCTTTGTGTAACTGGGATCCTTTCCTCCATCCTTAGCACTTCTGCCTGGAACATAGGGCCTCCATCCCTATCTGCCCCGCCAGCCTCCTAGCTCCTCTTTCTCCCAACCTGAAACCCTTAGGCTGACCCACCTGGCACTATGCATTGTGTTCCCTGACCTTCCTCCTCCTCCCCCAGCGCTCTCATTCTCTTATCTGCTCGTCTTGGGGTCCCTTCTCCTAGCATTTCAGGAGTCTGGGTGTATAATTATCCACACTCCTCCCCCATCATGACCTCTTGGCCACTCCTCTCCAAGTACCCTTTATCCCTGCCTTTGTACCAGCCCCATTCCCAAGTGCCCTGACCTTTCCACACCCAGATCCCAGGAAGTGATGAAGCTGACTTGCAGGTGAATAAGTCAGAGCTGAAAGGAAGGTGGTGCCTGCAGACAGCACCTCCCAGCTCCTTTGGGCCCCCCCACCCCCGCACTGTACCCATTATCAGAAAGGCCAGGTCCCAGCCCAGAGCTGGTTTAATCTCTGGCTTCTCTCCGACCTGAGTGCCCTACCCTGGTGCCAGCCTATGCTGATCACCGTCTTCAGCCAAGGGAGCAGTACCCCTCTGGAGTCCTTAAGTGTGATGGAAAGCCCTCCCCTCCACGTCCCTGCTGGTTCCTAGCCAGGCTACCTGTCTTGATGCTAAACTGGGAGAAGCAGAGGTTCCATCCTGGGTTGGGGGTGGAGGGCCAGGGAAGGCAGCTTTAAAAAGACTTTCTTTCGGGGGTTGGGATTAGATTTTGCTATCCGGAAAGCAACGGGGGATTTGAGTAGGGCCTAAGACAAACAGAGGGCCAGGGTGAGGTGGCTGAAGTGTGGTGGAACAGTGGGGTGGCAGACAGGCTCTTCACAGCCCTGCGCCAGGCCCGGCCCCAGCTCCAAAGTCTGTTTATTTTTTCAACCGTTTGAGCTGAGACCCTGGAGTAGAGCCAAGGGGGGCGGGAGAGGTTTTTTGAAACCACGGAAATTTGGTTCCACCCTAAAAAGGAAAGCCATGGGGGAGCCGGTTGGGGGAAGACCTGGCTAGGGGGTATAGAGAGAGGTTCTGGGGGGGCAGGTAGATACTGGGATCCCTTTTCGATTATTGTGGGGAGCTGGGAGGTCAGACACCTGGGTGTTTATGCTGTTTTTGTTTTTTTGGTGGTGGGGGGACTGGCTCTTTCTACCATGGGGGCTGGCTGTGTGGGGTGGGTAATTTGGGAATCTGGCTGGCAGCGGGGAGTGGGGGGCTGAGTGGGTGGATCTGAGAGGGCAAAGAGACCACAGGAGGAGGGTGGTTGTCAGTTTGGGCTGGTCGGAAGGGGAGGGCCACCTCCGGAAAACTGTGGTTACAGAAGGGGGAGTTGGTTCTTAGCCAACAAACCCTGGATCCCCTCTCCCCCCTCCCCCCAGCACACCAGCTGTCTCCTTTCTTTTTATACTGTGGTGGGAAGTAGAGGGGCACCCGCTGGAAAAGACATTATTTGAGGAAGATGGTCTCCCCTGCTACCTCCTTGCGGGGATGGGTCACAGCTAAGCCCTAACACCTCAGCCCTTCCCCATTCCTTGCCTCATTCCCTGGGAGCTCCTCCTAGGAGGAGGAATGTAAGTTTAACCTGCCCCTTTCTCTGTCCCATACTCACAGGATCTCTCTGTGTAGCCCCCTCCATGCTTCCTTTTTCTTTCCACTCCATTTCTGTTCTCCCAGGCTGTCTTCAGTCCTCCACCTCCTCAGTTCTCTCTACTCTACTTCCTACCTCCACAAGCCCCAGACCTCACCGGTCCCCTTTCTCTCTTTAGCCCCCTGTTCCTCCCTTTCTCCTTTCCCAAACCCCAACCATCATATCCCTTAGAACAAAGGGTCCTTTTCTGCCAAGCAGGGACCAGAGGTCTAGGGATGGCTGTGGAGGCTGGGGGTCCCCTTGGCATCTCTGTGGTGGGCAGGTGGAGTGGGGAGTATGCAGAGCGACTATTTCTTTGTTCTGAGGAATGGAGAGGTGGCCGGCTTTGTGTGCAGGACTAGGAGTGCAGCGGAGAGGAGGGTTGGGGGAGCCCAGGAGGGAGCTAAGAGGGCTGACGGTGTTGGAGGAGAGTGGAAGAATAGGGGGTCCTCCCGGTGGCTGAGGCTTCTGGGGACATAGACAAAAATTCTAGGGGTCGTGGAGGTTAGGGAGAGAGTTGAGGGGGAGGGGAGAAGTGAGGATGGGGGAAGGGAGTCTAAAGCTTAGGGAAGTCACTGAGTGACTTGCAGGAGGTTAGACAGGGCCTAGAGAAGGACCTGCTGAGGCCGACCAGAGGAGTTACAGTGGGGTCTGATCTCAGCCACTCTGGCTGTGGAATTTGACCTTGGAATCAAGGAGGGGACGGATGTGAATGTGTGCATCCCCTGTGTGCATCTTACTGGTGTGCTGGTGTGTCAGTGTGTTTGTCTGCCTGCCTGCCCTCCTATGTCTGTGCCCAGATGCTCTGGGCCACTGTTTTGAACAGTGGTCAGCAAAGTAGGGGTTCGTACTCTCTGGCCATGAGAAAGTAGCTTCATCCTTAGCTTCAGTTTCTGGTTGGAAGTATCATCTAGGAGCTGAGTGAGCAGATTGGTCAGGATTTCTGAAACTGGTAAGAGAAAAGGCTGAGAGGAGCTGGCTGGACCCTTCCGGGTTTGTTTATGTCTCCTTGGGAGAGGGTGGGGGTGGGGTTGCAGGCAGCAGCTGCCCCCCTCCCAACCCAGCCGGCCTGCCCTGTGCCAGGAGGGCAGGGAGTCCTGGCACAGCTATTGTTCACTTGCACAAATGCCTGTCTGTTTGCATTGCTACCCCCCTCTCTCTCTTTCTGCTTGTCTCTCTCTCCTGGCCTGACAGGTGTGGCCGGGTAGGGGGCAGGCTGGGGTCCAGGATGCTTGGGTCTCAGGGTCCCTAACCTGATTTATTCCCTGTGGCCCTTAGCACCCCTCTTCTGTTTCACCCGTACCCACCCCCATTGCGAGTGTCTCATCTTCATTCACTAAGCAAGCATTTATTAAGTGCCTTTGTGTGTGCAGTGATGTCTTTCTGTGTTGTTTCTGGCTTTGGCATTAGTGTTTCCATTTGGCTGCCTTCCCCTCAGCCTCCTGTCTTCATCTTGTCCCGGGAAGCTCATAAAGGAGCAGGGCCTGGCTGAGACCACCCCAAGCCCTCTTCTCAGTCCCACTGCCAGCAATCCCTCACCTCTTCATTTCCCAGCCCTATAGCTCCTCCTCCAGGACTTAGTGCCCTTCATAGCCAACGGCACCTCTGCTGTCCAGGGGCTGAGACACAGGTGACTCGAATCCCAGTGGAACACTCCACGGGCTCTCTGGTCACTATTA